ATATACACATACATACATGCAGTACTTACAAACAATTGAGGAATTAATAACAATGAAAAAGAAATGTTAAGTAATGTTTGATAATTAATTTAGTCTGTTTTTATAAAAATGTGAGAGAAAAGTATAAAAGTATGAAAGTATAATTACCGTGTTGTGAATCTTCCATTTCACGTTAGAAAGCATGAGGTATTGCGGTTGATGAGTGCATGCCATTCTATTTCTCTCTATCAATGAAAGCTTACCGGTGGGATTCGTGTAAGATATCGGTAGCACTCTGAGTTGAAATCCAAATTTCGTTTTATTTTCTTCGACCAAATCATTTCCGTATTTATTATATTGATTTAATATATTGAGTGGAAACATAATTAATCCTGACGTATTGCATTTAGAAGCTCTCGTCGTGTCTTCCTCATATAGCATGAAAGTGCTGAATACATATGGTCTCTTGATTGTATAAGTTCCCATGGTGTTTGCTGCTGCGATACTCAAATCAGTGCCAATGTTGAATTGATCGATGATATCTGTCATGATGTCATAATGATGTATCTCCTTTTTCCTTCCTTTCACTTTAAAATTCTGCACACCTTGCCTGCCAAATTCTATTTTAAATATATGATCCGGTATTTTTATTGATTTTTCATGAAAATTGATGGATTTTCTGTCATTTATACCAACAGATCTTTCCAATATGAGATCAGAAATATCTTTCCAATTATAATATATCTGCCGCGTGATATTTGTACGGCCGGTGATGTTCTTCGTATGACAGAACAGAACATCTTGGATACTTTGAAGCGATAATTTTGGACGACACCACAACATAGCAGTTACCTCTTCGTCTACATAAATTCCTAGCTCCAGATCCATGTACACTCTAGTGAGTTTTTCCAGTTTGAATACGTATACCGGACCGAAATTCCATTCTTTCACGTCTTCGACGGACATTAGAGCTCCTAAACAAACGGAAAGTTGAATCAGTTATAATATTAAATCACTATCATCTATTTATCGATAAAAAGTTGTATATAAAAATTGTCTGCTACACAAGTGGGCATACTTAAGTTTGGTAAAATTTCTATTTTGCTTAATATTATTTTATAAATATATTTTTAATTAATTTTTCAAATATTTCACTATAGAGTAGTGTATAATGCTCCATTGGAGGCAGCAGTTAAACAAGATTTTATATTCGGAAACGAATACATTGTAACATTGACAAATAAAAGTGAGTTGAAATAATTGCACTTCGTTAGCTTACCTAGCAGAAACGGGATGACGGTAACATTCATCAACGATAACATCTTGCCGTAATCGATTGCCTATTTTGTTACGAGAAGTGTCTGCTTATATTACTGCTACTCTCACTAGATTCTCTATTACATGCTCCGAATTCGCCGGCCGCGCGATTGATAATAAGGCAAATCTCTTTTGTCCTGTGGTTTATATTACCTTGCCAACACAATGTGATGAAATTCAGATGTCGCTCTCTTATCCTTGAAATTCAATAATAATATTTCAAAGATGATACTTATGTGTCTTATCGTAAGGATATATAACCAGCTTTTTCTAGATGTATTTACAAATGTGTACGCAAACTACGAAAATTTGATTTTATATGTATATTTGTATGAAGATTTATATAATTTATTATATATTGTTATAAAAACATTATATTATTAAAATATTATTAGTTTTACGACAAATTGTTATTATTCCAAACATTACTTACAAATGCGAACTAAAATTTATTGTGCCTTATTGATCAGAAGTTCGGTTCATGTATGAATAGTATAAACAATCAACGATATGTATTGAAAGAAAACACCTTAGCATTATAAAATTAAAAAATTTTATTTTCAATAATAGGAATAATTTGAAATAATTTTCATAATCGATGATATGTAATTTTGAGCATATTGTGTTTGCAATATTTCTATAATAAATATGTATATGGCAATATTTGATATTTAATATTTTTTCAATAATTAATATAAAAATATTAAATAATAAGAATTTTTAAACAGACTAATGAATATATATGAACCAACAAGTCATATTAACTTTGATACCCAATTTGATGACAGTGTAATTTCAATGTATATTTCTAAAAGATCAACCGTAAAATGTCATGAAAAATATCATACATCACAAACGAGAATGAAAACGTTAGTTTGAGAAATGTTTTTAACATAATTATATAATTTTAGTTATTCAAACTTTAAAACAATATATATAATGAATATTATATGTACGTATAATGACAAATTCTGTTTTGTCTGTTAGCTTTCTTAGGTTTTATAAATCTCTTATGTTTCAGTATAATTATGTTAAATATATTTTTCTGTTTTTTTTATTTCATAACGATCTTATTCATATTTAGCTGTATTGAGTTCTTTTCGGGCAGGTTTGATACGGACTAGGTGGAGGTACACATCTTCCCAAAAATTATATTTAAACGAGTAGTTTGGGGAAAAAACATCCTCCTCTAAATGAGTATAACTTGTAAACTTCGGTTTTTTGTCGCGAATCTCCATTTTGTTAAAATATCGTGTCTGTAAAAATAATTAATAGGGAGATGATATAAAATTCAGTTTGAATAAAAAAATGAAAACTAAGTCTAATAAATTATTAATTATCTCCCAGAAATAAAAACAAAAAATTATTATAAAAATATATGTTATATACACCTGCTTATATGCACATATGTATATATATAGGCACATGCAGTACGTATATACATATACATACAGCATTTACAAACAATTAAATAATCAATCACAATGGAAAAAGAATTGTTATTTAAAGTAATGTTTGATAATTAATTTTCTCTGTTTCTATAAAAATGTGATAGAAAAGCATAAAAGTATACGTAATTATCATGTTGTGAATTTCCCACTTCTCGTTAAAAAGCATAAGGAATTGCGAGTGATGAGTGCATCCCTTTCTAATTCTTTCTATCACAAATGTCCTACTGGCGGGATGCGTGTAAGATATCGGCAGCAATTTGAGTCGAAAACCGAATTCTGTTTTATTCTTTTTCTGGACCATTTTTCTGCTAAATTTTCTGTTTTTCTTATGTTGATCTGATGGTGTATACGTAATTGACCATGACGTATTACATTTAGTAACTCTTGCCGTGTCTTCCTCATATTGCGTGAAAGTGGAGATTACATACGGTCTGCGTACCTTGTTTTCATAATTTTTCATGCTGACTCTTACGATACTCAAATCAGTGCCAATGTTGAATTGATCAATGATATCTGTGATCATGTTATAATAATGTTGCTTCTGTTCACTTACTTTTACTTCAAAATTCCGTATACCTCGTCTACCAAACTCTAATCGAAATAATTGGTTCAGTATTTTATTTCATTCCTTATGCGGAATGATAGAGATTTTGTCGTGTATTATTTCTTTCCACTTTTCATATTTCTGCCGCGTGATATTTAAGACAGTGATATTACTTGCACAACAAATCAAAAGATTTGGGATACTTTGAGACGATACTTTTGGACGACATTTTAGCATAGCAGTTGCTTTTGCACCTATATACATTTCTTGCTCCATGTACACTCTAATGGATTTTTTCAATTCGAACATGTATTCTGGACCGAAATTCCATTCCTGCACGTCTTCGACAGACATAAGAGCTCCTAAACAAACGAAAAGTTTAGTTGTAAAATTGAAACATTATTATCTATTTATCGATACAAAAATTATGTGCTAAATGAATGGGCATACTTGGGCTTGGAAATTTTTTTTGCTTAATATTATTTTTTAAATATATTTTAAATTAATTTTTAGAATATTTCACTATAGAATGGTATATCATGCTCCAATGTAGACAGCAGTTAAACATGGTTTTATATTCGTGTAAACAAATATGTAACATTGACAAATAAAAGTGAATTGAAATCATTGTACTTTGTTAGCTTACCTAGCAAAAACGGGATGATCGTAACATTCATTGACGCTGTCATCATGCCATAATCGATTGCTTGCTTTGTTACGTTAATTATTTGCTTATAATGCTGCTACTCTCACTAGATCCTTTATTACATACTCCGAATTCACCGGTTGCACGATGGATAATGAGGCAAATCAGTTTTGTCCCGTGATTTATTTTACTATAACGATACAATATGATAAAAATCAAACGTCGAGTCTCTTATCTTTGTAATGTAAATAATAATATTTCAAAGATGACACTTACATACGTTTCAATAAGGATATATAACCAGCTTTTTTTAGGCATATTTAAAAATGTATCGACAAAGTACGAAAATTTAATTTTATATACAAATTTGTATATAAAGTTTATATATAATTTATTATATCGTGTTATAAAAATATTACATTATTAAAATATCATTATTTTTAAAACAAATGGTTATTATTCTAACCATTGCTTACAAAAGTTAACTAAAATTCACTAGTCCTCATTGATCAGAAGTTTTCGGTTCACGTAAGAAAAGTATAAACTGTCAATGATATATATTCAAAGAAAATACCTTAGCATTATAAAATTTAAAAATTTTATTTGGAATAATGGAAATAATTTGAAATAATTTTCATAATCGATGATACGTAGTTTTGAGAATACTGTATTTATAACGTTTTCACAGTAAAGATGTTTATGGCTATACTTGATATTCAATATTTTTCCAATAATTGATATAAGAGTATTGAATGGAAAAAATTAAACAGAATAATGAATATAATTGATCAACAAGTCATCTTAACTTTGATAAACAATAACAGTATAATTTTAATGCATATTTTTTAAGGATCAACTGTAAAATGTCAGGAAAAATATCATACATCACAGAAGAGAAAAAAAACATTAGTTAGACAAATATTCTTAGCATGTTTTTACAATTTTATATATCCAAGCTTCTGTACAGCTATATAATGTCAAATTCTGGTTTGCCTATAAACCCTCTCAGATTTTAAAACCTCTTGTGTTTCAGTATAATTATGCATTTACCAGTTTCTTCGATTTCATAACGGTCTCATTCATATTCAGCTGTATTAAGCTCTTTCCGTGCAGCTTTTATACGGACTAGGTTGAGGTACACATTTTCCTCAAATTTATGTACTGAGGTTGTGCTTATTGGGAAAAAAACATTCCCCTGTACATGAGTATGACTTGAGAACTGCGGTTCTTCGTCGTGGATCTTCATTGTGTTAGAATACTGTTTCTGTAAAAATAATTAATAGAGATATAACATAAAATTCAAGTTGGATAAAAATATAAAAACTAAGTTTAACAAAATATTAATTTTCTCCCAGAAATAAAAACAAAAATTATTTTAAAAATATATATTATATACACCTGCTTATATGGATATACGTATATGCATATATGTAGATGTAGGCATATACAGCGCGCACGTATATACACATACATATATGCAGCACTTACAAATAATTGAGGAATTAATCACAATGAAAATAGAATTGTTATATAAAGTAATGTTTGATAATTAATTTTTTCTGTTTTCATAAAAATGTAATAGAAAAGTATACAAGTATACGTAATTACCACGTTGATAAGCTTCCATTTGGTGTTAAAAAACCTGAGATTTCGCCGTTGATGAGTGCATGCGTTTCTAATTCTGTTTATCACCAAAGTTTTACTGGCGGGATACTTGTCACATATCGGTAGCAATCCGAGTTGAAAATGGAAGTTCGTTTTCTTTGTTTCTTTTTTATTGTTCTGGATTCCAGATGTTTTGTCTTTATTATATTGATGTAATGGTGTATACTTAACTGTCCCTGACGTGTTACATTTAATAGCTCTTGTCGTCTTTTCCTGATGGTTTGAGAAAAAGGAGATTACATATGGTCCGCGTTTCTGGCTTTCATAACTTTCCATTCTGTGTCTTGCGATACTCAAATCAATGCCCATATTGAATTGATCGATGATATCTGTGATAATGTTATAATGCTTTCGTTTCGCTGTTTTTAATGTAAAATTCTGTACACCTTTCTTGCTAAACTCTATTTTAAATAATTGGTCCGGTATTTTTTTTGATCGTTTATTGGGAGTGGCAGAGTACACGCCATCTACTATTTCTTTCCAATTTTTATCCTGCACCCGCGACATATATGTCACAAAGATATGGTTTGCATTACAGAACAAAATATTTTTGTCAATTTGAGACAATATATTTAGACGACACTTCACCACAGCAGTTATTTTTTCACCTATAGAATGTTTGTCCGTCATGTATGCCCTAATGGATTTTGTCAGTTTGAATACATATTCTGGATCGAAAATCCATTCTTTGTCGTTTTCGACGAACATAATAGCTCCTACACAAACGGAAAGTTCAATCAGTTATAATATTGAAACATTATCATCTATTTATCGACAAAAAAATTATGTGCTAAATGAGTGGGCATACTTAGACTTGGTAATTTCTTTCGCTTACCATCATTTTTAAAATATATTTTCAATGAATCTTTGAAATTATTTCACTATAGAAGTATACCACGCTCCATTAGAGGCAGTTAGACGTGATTTTATATTCGAGTAATCAAATATAAACGAATGTGTGACATTAACTGATAAAAGTAAGTTCGAATGATTGTAATTGTTAGCTTACCTAGCAGGAACGGGATGACGGTAGCGCATATTTTAGATAACATAACGTCTTAATCGATTGCCTGCCTCGTTACGTTTAGTGTCTGCTTATAATGCTTTCACTAGGTCCTCTATTATATACTCCGAATTTATCGCCCGCACGATGGATAATAAGGCACTATTATCCTGTGGTTTATATTACCTTGCCGATACAGAACATGATAAAATACAAACATCGCTCTCTTACCCTTGAAATTTCAATAATATTTCAAAGATAATATTTATGCGTTTTACCGTAAGGACATATAACCAGCTTTTTCTAGGAATATTTAAAAATGTATGCGCAAACTATGAAAATTTGATTTCGTACATATATTTGTATGAAGATTTCATATATAATTTATTATATCATGTTATAAAAATATTACATTATTAAAATATCATTATTTTTAAAATAAATGGTTATTATTCTGACCATTACTTACAAAAGTTAACTAAAATTCACTAGATATCATTGATCTGAAATTTTCGGTTCACGTAGGAAAAGTATAAACTGTCAATGCTATATATTCAGAGAAAATACTTTAGCATTATAAAAATTAAAAATTTTATTTGGAATAAGAGAAATAAGTTCAAATAATTTTTATAATTGATGATATGTAATTTTGAGAATACTGTATTTATAACGTTTTCACGGTAAAGATGTTCATGGCAATACTTGATATTCAATATTTTTCCAATAACTGATATGAGTATTGAATGGAAAAAATTAAATAGAATAATGAATATAATTGATCAACGAGTCATCTTAACTTTGATAAACAATAACAGTATAATTTCAATGGATATTTTTTGAGGATCAACGGTTCAATGTCATGAAAAATATCATACATCACAGAAGAGAAAAAAATTAGTTAGACAAATATCCTTAGCATGTTTTTACAGTTTTATTTATCAAAGCTACTGTACAGCTATATAATGTCAAATTCTGGTTTGCCTATAAACCCTCAGATTTTAAAATCTCTTGTGTTTCAGTATAATTATGCACTTGTCAGTTTCTTCGATTTCATAACGGTCTCATTCATATTCAAATGTATTAAGCTCTTTCCGTGCAGCTTTGATACGGATTAGGTGAAAATACGCATCTTCATCAAAAGTATATGCCGCTTGGTTCATTGGGAAAAAAACATTCCCCTGTACATGAGTATGACTTGAGAACTTCGGTTTTTTGTTCTGGATATTTATTCTGTTAGAATACTTGGTCTGTAAAAATAATTAATAGAGAGATAACATAAAATTCAAGTTGGATAAAAATATAAAAACTAAGTCTCATAAAATATTAATTATCTCTCAGAAATAAAAACAAAAATTATTATAAAAATATATGTTATAATCACCTGCTTATATGCATATATCTATATGTGTAGGCATATACAGCGCGCACATATATCCACATACATACATACACACATAGCTTATACATACATAGCACTTACAAACAATTGAGGAATTAATCACAATGAAAAAAAAATTGTTATTTAAAGTAATATTTGATAATTAATTTTCTCTGTTTTCATAAAAATGTAATAGAAAAGTGTACAAGTATACATAATTACCACGTTGATAAGCTTCCATTTGGCGTTAAAAAACCTGAGGTTTTGCCGTTGATGAGTGCATGCATTTCTAATTCTGTCTATCACCAAAGTCTCACTGGCGGGATACTTGTCACATATCGGTAGCAATCCGAGTTGAAAATGGAAGTTCGTTTTCTTTGTTTCTTTTTTATTGTTCTGGACTCCAGATGTTTTGTCTTTATTATGTTGATGTAATGGTGTATACTTAACTGTTTCTGACGTGTTACATTTAATAGCTCTTGTCGTCTTTTCCTGATGGTTTGTGAAAAAGGAGGTTACATATGGTCCGTGTTTCTGGCTTTCATAACTTTCCATTCTGTGTCTTGCGATACTCAAATTAATACCCATATTGAATTGATCGATGATATCTGTGATGATGTTATAATGCTTTCGTTTCACAGTTTTTAATGTAAAATTCTGTACACCTTTCTTGCTAAACTCTATTTTAAATAATTGGTCTGGTATTTTTTTCGATTGTTTATTGAGAGTGGCATAGTACTCGCCATCTATTATTTCTTTCCAATTTTTATCCTGCACCCGCGACATATATGTCACAAAGATATGGTTTGCATTACAGAACAAAATATTTTCGTCACTTTGAGACAATACATTTTGACGACACTTCACCACAGCAGTTATTCTTTCACCTATAGAATGTTTCTCCGTCATGTATGCCTTAATGGATTTTGTCAGTTTGAATACATATTCTGGACCGAAATTCCATTCTTTTCCGTCTTCGACGAACATAAGAGCTCCTACACAAACGGAAAGTTCGATCAGTTATAATATTAAAACATTATCATGTATTTATCGATAAAAAAATTATGTGCTAAATGAGTGGGCATACTTAGACTTGGTAATTTCTTTCGCTTACCATCATTTTTTAAATATATTTTCAATGAATCTTGGAAATTATTTCGCTATAGAAGTATACCATGCTCCATTGGAGGCAGTTAGACGTGATTTTATATTCGAGTAATCGAATATATTATAAACGAATGTGTGACATTAATTGATAAAAGTAAGTTCGAATGATTGTAATTGTTAGCTTACCTAGCAGGAACGGGATGACGGTAGCGCATACTTTAGATAACATAACGTATTAATCGATTGCCTGCCTCGTTACGTTACGTTTAGTGTCTGCTTATAATGCTTTCACTAGGTCCTCTATTATATACTCCGAAGTCATCGCCCGCACGATGGATAATACGTCATATCACTATTGTCTTGTGGTTTATATTACCTTGCCTATACTCAACATGATAAAATACAAACATCGCTCTCTTACTCTTGAAATTTCAATAATATTTCAAAGATGATACTTATGCGTTTTACCGTAAGGACATATAACCAGTTTTTTTTAGGAATATTTAAAAATGTATGCGCAAACTATGAAAATTTGATTTCGTACATATATTTGTATGAAGATTTCATATATAGTTTATTATATCATGTTATAAAAATATTACATTATTAAAATATCACTATTTTTAAAATAAATGATTATTATTCTGACCATTACTTACAAAAGTTAACTAAAATTTACTAGTCCTCATTGATCTGAAGTTTTCGGTTCACGAAAGAAAAGTATAAACTGTCAATGATATATATTCAAAGAAAATACTTTAGCATTATAAAAATTAAAAATTTTATTTGGAATAAGGGAAATAAGTTCAAATAATTTTCATAATCGATGATATGTAATTTTGAGAATACTGTATTTATAACGTTTTCACGGTAAAGATGTTCTTGGCAATACTTGATATTCAATATTTTTCCAGTAATTGATATAAGAGTATTGAATGGAAAAAATTAAATAGAATAATGAATATAATTGATCAACGAGTCATCTTAACTGTGATAAACAATAACAGTATAATTTCAATGGATATTTTTTAAGGATCAACGGTTCAATGTCATGAAAAATATCATACATCACAGAAGAGAAAAAAATTAGTTAGACAAATATCCTTAGCATGTTTTTACAGTTTTATTTATCAAAGCTGTACAGCCGTATAATGTCAAATTCTGGTTTGCCTATAAACCCTCTCAGATTTTAAAATCTCTTGTGTTTCAGTAATAAATTTTCAATAATTATGCACTTGTCAGTTTTTTCGATTTCATAACGGTCTTATTCATATTTAGCTGTATTAAGCTCTTTCCGTGCAGCTTTGATATGGAGTAGGTGTAAATGCACATCTTCATCAAAAGGATATGCCGCTGTGCTCTTTGGGAAAAAAACATTCCCCTGTACATGAGTATGACTTAAGAACTTCGGTTTTCTGTCCTGGATCTTTATTCTGTTAGAATAGTTGGTCTGTAAAAATAATTAATAGAGAGATAACATAAAATTCAAGTTGGATAAAAATATAAAAAATAAGTCTCATAAAATATTAATTTTCTCCCAGAAATAAAAGCAAAAATTATTATAAAAATATATGTTATAATCACCTGCTTATATGCATATATCTATATGTGTAGGCATATACAGCGCGCACATATATCCACATACATACATACACACATAGCTCATACATACATAGCACTTACATGCAATTGAGGAATTAATCACAATGAAAAAAAAATTGTTATTTAAAGTAATATTTGATAATTAATTTTCTCTGTTTTCATAAAAATGTAATAGAAAAGTATACAAGTATACGTAATTACCACGTTGATAAGCTTCCATTTTTCGTTAAAAAACCAGAGGTTTTTTCGTTTATGAGTGCATGCGTTTCTAGTTCTGTTTATCACCAAAGTCTTACTGGCGGGATACTTGTCACATATCGGTAGCAATCCGAGTTGAAAATGTAACTTCGTTTTATTATTTTTTTTTGTATTGTTCTGGACTCCACATGTTATGTTTTTATGATGTTGATGTAATGGTGTATACTTAACTGTCCCTGACGTGTTACATTTAATAGCTCTTATCGTCTTTTCCTGATGGTTTGTGAAAAAGGAGATTACATATGGTCCGTGTTTCTTGCTTTCATAACTTTCCATTCTGTGTCTTGCGATACTCAAATTAATACCCATATAAAATTGATCGATGATATCTGTGATGATGTTATGATGATGTTGATTTAGTTTCACTGTTTTTAATGTAAAATTCTGTACACCTTTTTTGCTAAACCCTATTTTAAATAATTGGTCCGGTAATTTTTTAAATGGTTTTTTGGGAGTGGCAGAGTGCTTGACATTTACTATTTTCTTTTTATTTTTATGTATCTGCGACATATTTGTCAGAAAGATATGGTTTGCATTACAGAACAAAATATTTTCGTCACTTTGCGACAATACATTTTGACGACACTTCACCACAGCAGTTATTTTTTCACCTATAGAATAGTTTTTCGTTATGTGTGTCTTAATGGTTTTTTTCAATTGGAATTCATATTCTGGACCGAAATTCCATTCTTTTTCGTCTTAGACGAACATAAGAGCTCCTACACAAACGGAAAGTTCAATCAGTTATAATATTAAAACATTATCATGTATTTATCGATAAAAAAATTATGTGCTAAATGAGTGGGCATACTTAGACTTGGTAATTTCTTTCGCTTACCATCATTTTTTAAATATATTTTCAATGAATCTTGGAAATTATTTCGCTATAGAAGTATACCATGCTCCATTGGAGGCAGTTAGACGTGATTTTATATTCGTAATCGAATATAAACGAATGTGTGACATTAATTGATAAAAGTAAGTTCGAATGATTGTAATTGTTAGCTTACCTAACAGGAACGGGATGACGGTAGCACATACTTTAGATAACATGACGTTGTAATCGATTGCCTGCCTCGTTACGTTACGTTTAGTATCTGCTTATAATGCTTTCACTAGATTCTCTATTATATACCCCGAATTCATCGCCCGCACGATGGATAATAAGGAACATCACTATTGTCCTGTGGTTTATATTACCTTGCCGATACACAACATGATAAAATACAAACGTCGCTCTCTTACCCTTGAAATTTCAACATTAATATTATATAGATGATACTTATGCGTTTTATCGTAAGGATATATAACCAGCTTTTTCTAGGCACATTTGAAAATGTAAGCGCAAACTACAAAAATTTGATTTCGTACGTATATTTGTATAAAGATTTCATATATAATTTATTATATATTATTATAGAAATATTATATTATTAAAATATCATTATTTTTTAAGAAAAATGGGTATTCTGACAAACTACTGACAAAAACTAACTAAAATCCCCTGTTCCCCATTGATTAGAAGTTTTCGTGTAAGAAAAGTATAAAAATATAAATAGAGTATTATATAAATATAATTATATAAATATATGTATTAAAAAAAAATATCGTAGCGTTATAAAATGTTTTAATTTGATTTGAAATGATAGAAATAATTTGGAATAATTTTCATAATCGATGATACGTAGTTTTGAGAATACTGTATTTATAACGTTTTCACAGTAAAGATGTTTATGACAATACTTGATATTCAATATTTTTCCAGTAATTGGTATAAGAGTATTCAATGGGAAAAATTAAACAGAATAATGAGTATAATTGATCAACAAGTCATCTTAACTTTGATAAACAGTAACAGCATAATTTCAATGTATTTCAATGGATATTTTTTAAGGATTAACGGTTCACTGTCATGAAAAATATCATACATCACATAAGAGAAAAAAATTAGTTAGACAAATATCCTTAGCATGTTTTTACAGTTTTATTTATCAAAGCTGTACAGCCGTATAATGTCAAATTCTGGTTTGCCTATTAACCCTCTCAGATTTTAAAATCTCTTGTGTTTCAGTATAATTATGCATTTGTTATCCATTTGTTTCTTCGATTTCATAATAGTCCCAGTCATATTCAGCTGTATTAAGCTTTATCCGTGCAGCTTTTATACGGACTAGCTGGAGGGACACATTTTCCTGAAATTTATATACTATGGTTGTGCTCATTGGGAGAAAAACATTCCCCTGTATATGAGTTTGACTTGCGAACTTCGGTTTTTTGTTGTGGATCTGTATTCTGTTAGAATATTCGGTCTGTAAAAATAATTAATAGAGAGATAACATAAAATTCAAGTTGGATAAAAATATAAAAACTAAGTCTAACAAAATATTAATTTTCTCCCAGAAATAAAAACAAAAATTATTATAAAAATATATGTTATATACACCTGCTTATATGCATATATTATTATGTGTAGGCATATACAGCGTGCAGGTATATCCACATACATTCATACATACATACATAGCCCATACATACATCGCACTTACAAACAATTGAGAAATTAATCACAATAAAAAAAAATTGTTATTTAAAGTAATATTTGATAATTAATTTTCTCTGTTTTCATAAAAATGTAATAGAAAAGTATACAAGTATACATAATTACCACGTTGATAAGCTTCCATTTGCTGTTTAAAAACCTGAGGTTTGTTCGTTGATGAGTGCATGCGTTTCTAATTTTGTCTATCACCAAAGTCTCACTGGCGGGATACTTGTCTTTTCCGTAACATATCGGTAGCAATGCGAGTTGAAAATCGAATTTCGTTTTATTTGTTTCTTTTTCATTGTTCTGGACCCCAAATGTTTCGTTTTCATTATGTTGATGTAATGGTGTATACTCAACTGTCCCTGACGTGTTACATTCAATAGCTCTTGTCGTGTTTTCTTGATGGTTTGTGAAAGAGAAGATTACATATGGTCTGTCAGAAAAGCTTTCATAATTTTTCATTCTGCGTCTTACGATATTCAAATCAATGTCCAAACTGAATAGATCGATGATATCTGCGATGATATCTGCGATGATGTTATAATAACGTTGCTTTTGTTTCGTTTTTAATGTAAAATCCTGTACACCATTCTCGCTAAAATCTATTTTAAATAATTGGTGCGGTATTTTTTTTGATTGTTTATGGGGAGTGGCAGAGTGCCTGTCAACTATCATTTCTTCCCAATTTCCATTCTTTTTCTGCGTCATATTTGTCACAATGATGTCGCTTGCATTACAGAAATGAATATTTTTGTCACTTTGAGACAATACATTTAGACGACACTTCACCACAGCAGTTATTCTTTGACCTATAGAATGTTTATCCGTCACGTATGTCCTAATGGATTTTGTCAGTTCGAATACATATTCTGGACCGAAATTCCATTCTTGCACGTCTTCGACGAACAAAAGAGCTCCTACACAAACGGAAAGTTCAATCAGTTATAATATTAAAACATTATCATCTATTTATCGATAAAAAAATTATGTGCTAAATGAGTGGGCATACTTAAACTTGGTAATTTCTTTTGCTTACCATCATTTTTAAAATATATTTTCAATGAATCTTTGAAATTATTTCACTATACAAGTATACCATGCTCCATTGGAGGCAGTTTAACGTGATTTTATATTCGAGTAATCGAATATAAACAAATATGTGACATTAACTGATAAAAATTCGAATGATTGTAATTGTTAACTTACTTAACACGAACGGGATGACGGTAACACACATTTTAAATGACATAATGTCGTAATCGATTGCCTGCCTCGTTACGTTTAATGTCTGTTTATAATGCTTTCACTAGGTTCTCTATTATATACTCCGAATTCATCGCCCGCACAATGGATAATAAGGCACATCACTATTGTCCTCTGGTTTATATTACCTTGCCGATACACAACATGATAAAATACAAACGTCGCTCTCTTACCCTTAAAATTTCAACAATAATATTTCAAAGATGATACTTATGTGTCTTATCGTAAGGATATATATAACCAGCTTTTTCTAGGCATATTTAAAAATGTATGCGCAAACTACAAAAATTTAATTTCGTACGTATATTTGTATAAAGATTTCATATATAATTTATTATATATTATTATAGAAATATTATATTATTAAAATATCATTATTTTTTAAGAAAAATGGTTATTATTCCGACCAATTACTGACAAAAGCTAACTAAAATTCCCCGTTCCCCATTGATCAGAAATTTTCGTGTAAAAAAAAGTATAAAAATATAAATAGAGATATGTATTTTAAAAAAATATCGTAGCATTATAAAATTTTTTTATTTTATTTAGAAATAATCTGGAATAATTTTATATTCGATGATACGTAATTTTGAAAATATTTGCAACGTTTCCGTAGTTAAGATGTTTATTTGCAATATTTATTATTCAATACTTTTCTAATAATTAATGTAAGAATATTGAATAGAAAGAACTGAACCGAATAGTGAATATATTTGATCAATAAGTCATATTAACTTTAATAAAAAATGACAGCGTAATTTCAATGGATATTTTTTAAGGATCAACGGTTAAATATCATGAAAAATATCATACATCACAGAGAAAGAAAACTTTAGTTTGATAAATGTCCTTGGCATATTTCACAATTATATTTTTTCAAGCTTTTGAATAATTTCGCTCATGAACAGCTATATAATGACAAATTCTGACAAATTCTGACAAATTCTGACAAATTCTGACAAATTCTGACAAATTCTTTGTCTATAAGGCCTCTCAGATTTTATAGATCTCTTATGTTCCAATATAGTTATTTACCTGTCCTGTTTCTCTGATTTCATAACAGACTCATTCATGTTCAATTATTTTAAGCTCTTTTTGGGCAGGTCTGATACGGAGTACGTGGAGAGATGCACATCTTGTAAAAAGTAATACTTATACAAGCTGTTTGGGAAAAACTCATTTCCCTCTAAATGAGTGCAACTTGTGAATTTTGGTTTTTTGCCATGGATCTTGTTAAAATATTGTATCTGTAAAAATAAGCAATAGAGAGATAATATAAAATTCGACTTAGATGGAAAAATAAAAATTAAAAATGGAAAAGTATAAAAGTATACGTAATTACCATGCTGTGAATGTTCCTCTTCTTGTTTAAAAGCATGAAATATTTTGGTTGATGAGTGCATGCCATTCTAGTTCTCTCTTCAGTTCTTCAATTGTATGAGTTTCCATGTATAATACTGTCTTGTTCAGTTCAAACACTTATTCTGGACCAAAGTTCCATTTTGTCATGCCATCGACAGACACAATAGCTGCTACCAAATGGAAAGTTATAATATTAAAACACTGTTGAGTATTCGTTGATAAAAAAATTAATGTGCATAATTTTCGGTTAATTTTTGTCTCGATAAAAATATTCAAAATTCTCTACACGAATGTCTTAATATAAATATTTGCATGTTTAAAAAAAAAAGACGTAAATGGTTGTTAAAATTTTGAAGCTTGGGCTTATTTGTACTTATTAAATTATTTGTTTAATATAAATTTTTATGTATATTTAATTATTCCTTAAAATATTCTATTACAAAGATATATGTGTACAATGCTGTGTTGATGCAATAGTTAAATGTGATTTTATATTCGAGTAGATAAATATGTAATATTGATTAATACAAGAGAATTCAGATAATTGTATTCGTTAACTTATCTAGTAGGAATGGAATAGACGGTGACATTCATTTTACAATAATTGATATGTCTAATTATGCTCCTATTCTCGCTGAATTTTTCATATATTATAATTTATAATTCTTTATATATATTAAATTTCAATCCGTATTCAAAAAATGAGACATACTTTTTCCTTTTAAACTTAGGAAGATTATTTTCCAAAGACTTCCTTGAATAATATAATAATCTCCCATCTAATTCTGTAAAACTTGTGGATATTCTTTTGATTTCCATTTTGCTGAAATATTTTGTGACTGCAAAAATAATAAAGATAGATGTAGCAAATATACTATCTTCTTGATAAAAATAGCAAATATTTATTTTATCAACTACTATATTCATTTCCTGCACTTGTGCAGAAGATGATATTTAACACAACAAATTGAAAAGTGTTACACTTCCATTAATACTAATTAAAGAATTACATACATAAAATTATCATTAAAAGTAATATTTGACAATCAATTGTTCATGAAGATACTTTCAACAGCTAAATGTGTTGAATAATTGTTAGACAAAGGTTAGAGAAACACGTGTGCAGGAAATTACACTTAACACAACAACAAATTGAATTAAAGATTAAAAGGTAAAAGTGGCAAGTGTGTTAAGATGAATGTCATCATTGAAAAAATTTCAAACACAGTACCTACCATAAAAGAACTTAACGACAGTGAAGACAAATTAATAAAAATCCTTCAAATAAAACATCATCAGCAATTCAAGCTGAAAATGATACAAACAGTTTGGCAAGATTACTTCTGAATAATCTTCGATGTAGTGCTAGATAATGTGCTTTGCACAGCAATCATAATGATAGAAACACTTGATCATCATCGAAGGAATATAAAGCAAGATGTATCTGCAAATGAAAAATAGATTATTAATTATACAATATTATAAAGAATATTATATCATTACACATTATGTTCATTGTTTACTTTCTAGTATAACCTACATAATACACAGAATTTTTATTTTCTACTATTATCCTCTTAATTAACTATTTTAGGATTCAAATACTTATATATTTTATGATAGAATATGAATAATTAATTTTTTCATGACCACACAGATAAAACATTCGAATATTTAAATCATTGTTTGATTAAATTTAGACGCAATTAAACAAAGATTCTTTTTTTCTGTTATGTGTGAAATATCACCAGTAATGTATTATATTTGTAATTTAATTTATTTTACACAAACCTGCAGAGAAATTATTTCAGTCGTCGCAAAATAATGCCTCGAAGCAGTGCCATCTAACGTAGTTTGCTCGAATTTCGTCTCGCAACACAATATCGATTTCCGGTAATGCATTACCTGAACAGTTGGATTATGTTACCAACAGTGGGCAATCGCAATATTACGAAAAGCGATAGTGGATGCCGTAGCGGCGTTTCACTGATAGTGAGACTTCTCGCTATCAGTGAAACGCTGCCGCGACATCTCTCCTCCTCTTCCGCAGGTTCTTACGGGCAGAGGTGTCACCGTTGGTGGTGTGTGGTCTGACCGAGTCGTGTGTGCGCCAAATCCATCGATTAACGGGAACACAAAATAAGATGCAACGTCGTCTCGCCGTTTTTCGCCGCGCGTACGATCGTGTTGAGGAGTTGACGACAGCGCGTGCAACCGCGAACAGGAACGTCAGACGCTAAGGCGTTATGGGAAAATGGTGAGGCAGCTCGGTTTCCTCGTCCACTGGGAGCATGGGTTCGCAAACGCTGGAGATCCTGAGACAAGGCGTCTGGGCGAGCCTAACGGGTGGTTGGTTTTACGATCCGCATCTCGACGTTTTCTCCAACACATTCCACCTCTATATCTGGCTGTTCTTGCTCTGTCTGCCGTTCACGATCTATCTGGTAAAGAAAAAGAAAAAAGCCACGACACATCTGCCCTTCTCTACCCACGTTCGCGCGCGACCGTTTATTTTGAAAGTTGCATAAATCAATTTTCCTGCAAATCTTGTTAAAATAAAAATGCAAATCAAACTCCAGCCGTATTCGATTTGAAAATTATTCTGCATTTCTTGATTTAGGCTACTTTTGAAAGAAACAGCTGATTTTTGACAGACAGTTCTGTCAATTTTCTTCGAGTGTTTATGCGACTTTTTTTGCTCTCTAGGAAGAGAAATATTGTTTTTATAGTACTTGCCAAAGAGGATACCGACCACTTTGTTAAATACAGTTTTATCTTTCAGTACTTTCCACCTACATTATACGTTTGGTTGGCGTATTGCTCATTGTTTATTGCCGTTTTTGGAACGATAAAGTGTGTGAATCATGCTCTGCACTGTGTATATGACACAACAGAGTGTTTGGAGGAACCAAATCAAACAATCAGTCAGCAAAAATCCGAGAGTGAGAAGAAACGGGCTGGCCATAATAAGTGCAGAGAATATTCGCAGGATCAGACGGGCCATGGCATAGAGCTGCAAGTTTTGAATGGTATGTTACAGGATTAATTGATGAATTAATTTAGCGATATGAGATATCTGTGAAAAAGTAGCATGTTTATAAATATTAATTTTTTGAGAGAAAGAATAAAGTTAATGCTCATAATTGGTTTTATAATGATTAAGATAAATTCCATTTGGAAAGATTTAAATAAAAAACTGATTTCTTTATATTTTCCACTTGATGGTTTAATTATTAAATTTAATGATAGAATGATATTCTATTATAAAAATATAAAATTATTATATTTAATATAAACTATTGTAATATATAATTTCATACTGATATTTTATATGCATTTCCTGATTTATATCTTTCTTTCACTGACTTCTGATTTAAACGAAATTTATCTTTATTAAAAGGAGACATATATTTCATATTTTCTGTAATTGTTTTTGGTAAAACAGACACACCACCGGTAGAATGTTCATCGCGCAACTCATTTATAGAACCAAACATACAGAACGCTGATGCAGATAGTATAACGTCCGAATACAATCGGGATAAACCTAGTTCGACCATAGATTTAAAGGTAGAGATACACAGGAAGAATAGTTCTGAAAGTTCGGAAGAGGCGCAGCAACTTAGTAAACCAATGGTAACCAGCATAAACGTGCACGAGGCCGAATTAGTTTCCGCGCAGTATCATGAGCCACGTGTTAAAAATATCATAAATGGTAATCAAATATTTAAGTATATCTAATATTTAATGGGGCGCGTGTATGAAATGAAATAATTGATATAAACGATTCATGTTTACAGAATGGAGATCAAAGCGGCAGAAATGCGTTGTGATAGCGGAAGAAGATCGATCGAGGCCGCGTAAATTGTGCCGGCACGCGTCCGAAGATTCTAGAAATCGACATTCTAAACAAGGCAGTCTCGGTAAAACGGGATCCGAGAGCCAGATAAAACAGACCAGTTCCCTGGAATTGGAAAATCCCAACGATGATTATTCGTACTGGAAGTCCAATCAAAGCGTCCGCAGGCTCAACTCCAATTCCATACCGATGGAAACACACCTGATGAACGATCATCCCCAGAGCTTGGAAATCATATCAAAGAAGGGAGATGTGGATAACAATAAGATCTCGTCTCATCCGCAATCGTTGGAGGTAAATTTTCGAATAGTCACAAATCGCGAACGAATAACTGAATGTAATTTGAAATCTTAAGCGCCTTGTTTTTCCTAGCGAGATAAAAAGTATTGTATTCCTAATCTTAAGGTTATTGCCAAGAAACCGCATCAACAACTAGTACATCCGCAAAGTCTCGAGACAATTGGTGCTACGAGTAAAAATATAAGTAGCACCGACGACAATAACCTGCCTCTTCATCCTCAAAGTCTCGAGACAATTAATACTAAAAAGGTATGGGCAGAAAACATTTTTTTAAGTATTTTTGTTTCTTTTTTTTACCTCAAAGATTTATAATGCGAATAAAAATCAACATTGAAGGTCTTACCGCAAAACACATTGAAGAGAAATCAACTACAGCTCTTGCCGTATCTTAGTTACGGATCCGAAATAGTACATCCGATAGCGGAACAGAGCGACGAACAATTCGCCAATGAAAGTTCGGGAGGATTTAGCCTGCGGGATTCTTACAGCCCGTTACTCACGCGGAAAAACATAAGCGACGCGAATGCGACATCCAATCGAGATAGAAGTCACAGCGCTGGCAGATTTGAAGACAGATTCTCCAGGTACTTTTGGATAAGTATATTTTTCACGACTTTCGATTATATCACCACGATTTTTCTCATTAACGTCATTATTATTTCCTAGATTTAACGACGACAACGGAATAGATAACAACTCGGCGAATTCTCGGGATGCTTTGCTCGAGGAAGCGAAGCCCGTCGTGAAAAGAAGATACAGCAACGCCAGCCAGAGCAGCCACGAGTTTTCAGATGGTGAGAAAAGTAAAAAGAAGCGGCAGGATAAATCCAAGAACACGGAAGATCCGCTCAACACGGGAAGCATCGTCGGGATCGATTGGTTATTCGAAAGCGGAGATTGTTCGGTGGAGCCGTGGACGAGTAAGAGTAAGTTTGACGTATGAAAATCTGCTTTTTTTTTGGTAAAAAACGAAGATGTGGTCAAATTATTTCTCGCTGTATGCAAGCTTATACTCTTACGTTTTTCTAATTCGTGCTGCCAGTATTTTGGACTTTCACTCGCTCTGATGATACGGATACGTCAGAAAGCCTACAGACGGCTAGTACAGATTGTAAGTTGGACGCACTGTACAGTATAATCGCGCGATTGGAGAGATCCATTATTCAATGCGACACTCGATAAGGCTGATGGGCACATTTTGCGCTTTACTTGGCTTTGCACACAATCCTTTGCTCACGATAGAATCGATTAACGATAAAATCTTCCAGTGCGAATGGACAAAAGCGATAAATACGATACGTATGTTGATTTTGCGTAGATCTTCACACTAAAGAGCCCGACTCGGGATCGTCCAGTACAACGACCCTTAGCATCGAAAACGAGGCGAAGCGGAAATTGCTGCCACAGCTGGAGGTGGACAACGCCGCCAAGCGTCACCAGGGGGCGATTCCCAAGCACAGCCGTCCAAAACCCGCCATATCGGACGCCGCGGACGACAATATTACGTCGAGCGTTGAGCAGCCGCGGGAGAATCTCAAGCGTTACCTCGAAGTGCGACGGGAAAAGGCCAGAAGGCGTGGCGGCAAGCTGGAGCAGACGAGCGGTTCGAACAACGAGCTGAGCACATTGCTGCCGAATCCGGCACCTCCGTTGCTGGCCGCGTTGCTGAACAATTCCGGCCGGGATTTACCCGGTCAGTCGAATATCGCGTCGTCCGATCTGCGATTGAGTCGCAGCTCCGAAAACCGGAATTCCCGAACGAGATACGGACGGCTGAAACGACCCAGCAGAGCGCAGCGTAGCGGGCCGCGCAGCATTGCCAGTAATCGCGACGACAACGTTGTACCGTTAACCGCGCTCTTCGGTTTAATTTCGAGCGGCGAGTGTCATTTGGCCACGAATCAGAACGACACCTCGGAAGGAGCGGTGCACTACTTTTGCGACGACAACGGACGCTGGCTGGCTTACACGTTCGACGAGAAGGGCTCCGATGTGGCCGCGGCGGCGGCGGCGATGACGCAGATACCTGGCAACACGCACGATAAGCTGCTCAACACACTGCTGCGCCAACAGCTCAATCAGAATTTGCACTACGAAATGAATTGCGAGCCTGCCGGCTCGCTGAGCAACAGTTACAGCAGTCTGTCGCTTAACTCCGCCGGCTTGACGGTGATAATCGACACGCCGCCGGTGCTGTCGAGTCCAGCGAGCAATCAGACGAAGACGCAGAGCTCGCCGCCGTCGAACCTGATCTCCTCGAATACCGGCAGCTCGAATCAGTGCACGCTGGGCGAGAATTCGGAGCGCGAGCAGTTTCACGTGATCGCGCGCTCGGACTCGATGACCGACAGGAATCGTCGGCTGCAAAATCTCTTGGGCAATCTTAACTTGAATCAGTATCAGCCGGACAACAACAATCGCATGCCCGTGCTGACGTTGCCCGCGCATCAGGAGCCCGACATAAACACCAGTCTGTCGTGGAACCGCTTCATCCTGGACGAAATCAGCTTCCAGCCAAAGCCCAAGCTCAAGCAGACTCGATCGAGACACTACTATAAGTGGAAGATCGGCAAGCTGCCGCACATCAAAGTGCGCTTCGATCGTCTCGCTCTGCTGGCTCTGCTCGATCGCAACTTAACTATATTCGAGACGATCGTTTCCACGCTGCTGGCGGGCGCGGTCGCCGGGCTGGGCCTTCTACTGCTGCAGCAGGGCTTCTATCGGGACATCTTCGCGTTCATATTCTGCTTCGTGACGGCCGGCTGTCAGTACTCGCTGCTCAAGTCGGTCCAGCCCGATGCTGCATCGCCCACGCACGGCTTCAATCGCATCATAGTGTTCTCGAGGCCCGCGTACTACATCATATGCTCGAGTCTCATTCTCATTTTCAACGAGACGCTGAGGAACTTTAGGTCGTCTGACTTTCGCGTTTACGGACTGCGCGTCGCCGATTACGATCTTATAATGCAAGTGCGAAACGTACTGCTGATATTCCTGCTGTGCTTCCCGATCGTGTTCTCTTTGGGACTGTTTCCGCAGATCAACACGTTTCTCATGTACGTCTGCGAGCATCTGGACATACATCTGTTCGGTGGCAACGCGACCACCAGTCTGCTGTCGTCGGCGTACTGTCTTTGCCGCAGCGTCGTCGCCGTGCTCTTTCTCTACGGATTCGCCTACGGCGCCCTCCTCGAGCCCAAGTCCTCGCAGCACATCCTGTTCTCCATATTCCTCGGTCTGCTCGTCGCGATATCCTATCATCTCAGCCGCTCGTCTTCCGATCCCACCGTAATATGGGACATCCTCAAGACGCATCTGTGGCCACCGGAGATCGGCGACAGATACGTGGAGGAGAAGGAGGCGAAGATCATCGAGAACACGTCCTCGTCGCAGTGCGTCAACATGGTCGCGAGCTACAAGGAGGTGAAGAGCAAGGCGGCCAACAAGAAGAAGGATGTGAAGATCACGCTGGGCGAGCAAATGTCGGACACCGAGCTGGTGGATCCGCTGCCGGAGAAGCTCCGTTCGACCGTAAACTCCAGATTGAAGAACGACGTGATTGTGTGCGCGGTGATCGGCACTCTGTCCTTCGGGATTCACCGTACGACGGTGTTCACCGCGCTGCAGCCGGAGCTCAATCCGGTGCTGTGGAGCATCGTTGGCTTTCTGGGCTTTCTTCTCCACTACGTCGTGCCGCAATTGCGCAAGCAGTGGCCATGGCTGTGCCTGTCGAGGCCGGTGTTGCGCAGCTACGAACACGCGCAGTTCGAGGTGCGCGAGCCGGTGAGGATTATGTGGTTCGAGAAGGCTTACGTGTGCCTATGCTTCCTCGAACGGAACGTGCTCTACCCAATCGTCTTCCTCGGCGCGCTCACCGAGTACTCGCCGAAGATCGCCGACAAGTTCGGCAAGAGCGTGGGCGCGCTCATCGTCGTCATGTGCGGCCTCAAGTCTCTCAGGTCGGCGTACTCGGACCCGTCCACCCGCTACCTCGTTCTCGTCTTCGCGGTGCTCTTTTTCCGACTGGACTACAGTCACCTGAGCGAGACCTTTCTTATGGACTACTTCGTCACCGGAATCGCATTTGCGAAGATCTACGAGCTGCTGCTCAAGATACGCTTCGTCGTCACGTACATCGCTCCTTGGCAGATCACGTGGGGCAGCGCGTTCCACGCCTTCGCCCAGCCCTTCTCCGTGCCGCACTCGGCGATGCTCTTCCTCCAGGCTGGCATCTCGGCCATGCTCAGCACACCCCTCAATCCGTTGCTGGGCAGCGCGATTTTCATCTCGTCCTACGTGCGACCGGTGAAATTCTGGGAAAGGGATTACAAAACCAGGAGAGTGGATCACTCCAACACGCGTATGTCCTCGCATCTGGAGCGCAATCTCGGCGCCGACGACAACAATCTCAATTCGATATTTTACGAGCAGCTCACGCGCTCCCTCCAGCACAGTCTGTGCGGCGATCTCGCGCTCGGCCGATGGGGAAACGTGGAGCAGGGCGACTGTTTTCTGCTCGCGTCGGATTATCTCAACTGTTTGGTGCACGTTGTTCAGTTGGGCAACGGATTGGTGACATTTCAACTGAGAGGTCTCGAATTTCGGGGGACGTATTGCCAGCAAAGAGAGGTACGTAGAACGTCACGGTTTCTTGCGCCCAACTTCGAACGCTAACGACGTTATTTTCACTTCGCTCTCAGGTGGAGGCGATCTCGGAGGGTATCGAAGAAGACAACGACTGCTGTTGCTGCGAAATGGGTCATTTCTCGAATGTACTTAGCGTGAACGCGGCCTTCAGCCAACGTTGGCTCGCGTGGGAGGTGGCGAGTGCGAAATACGTTCTGGAAGGTTACTCGATCTCCGACAACTCGGCAGTTTCCATGCTGCAGGTGTTCGAATTTCGCAAAGTACTAATCACTTACTACGTCAAGAGTATCGTTTTCTACGCCGTGAAGTCGCCCAGGCTGAAACAGTGGTTGGAAAATCCGGATATCGTCGACGCGCTGAAGCCGACGCTCGACAAGAACTTCGTCGATCTCGATCCCGTCTTCAACGTCAACATCGACTTGGACTTCGACTTCCGCGCGAGCGGCATCACGCGGAGCAGTTTCTGCAATGTTTATCTCGACTGGATACAATATTGCGCTGGTAAACAAGATAAGGTGATACATTGGTAATATATTCGCATTATTTCGTCACCTTAATACTATAATTTTTAGTTTACAAATTCATGATGTCATCTACATACATTAATCGTAAGATGTATAATTACATCTCTCGTTGCATGTGGAGAGACTGATTGATCCAAAACGACGTGATGCAATCACATCATTAGCCATAGAAGAAAGAACTCCGAATTGTTTAGAGCAAATAAATTGAAGTACTAAGGTGACGATTGTAGTACTAAGGTGACGATTTATCCGTAGAATTCGCAACTCGTCCGGTTGTTTCATAACATATTGTGCTTTCTAGTCGCTGGATAGAACGCGTGATTCGTGTCTTGTGTCTCTGTGCTTTTCATTGAGCCTCCTGGGAAGACGTGTGTTAGGCGCTGCGTCTCATAACACATTATCGAGTGTCGAATTTTTTCTCTACGGACTGCACGCATTGTTTAAAGGTATAATATATATGTCAACTTATTATAAGAATGATATTCCGCTAGAAAGTCTATTAGAACTGGAACTAGCGACGCTAAAAACTTATCCTACAGATGAATACATACACACATCGCTAAAAAAATAACGTTGTAATCTCTGAATTTGCAATCATTGTTAAAATACCAATGGCTACATTTGTAAATTATGGAGTGAGCTTATTCTAATTCCAAAAACAACACTACAGTCCACATTTACAAACGAATACTTGGGCTTAATGACAGGAGACTTCCGGATAACATCAGCTCGCGACGAATGGGTGCTGCACGATGTCGACTTGTTGCGCAGCGTGGTCGCAAAAGGGATAAGAATGGCCTTAAAACTGCATCAAGATCACTTCATGAGCCCGGAGCAATACGCCGAGTCGCCGGCGCTCTTCGAGGCTATCGGCAATCATGATCAGAATCTTGTCATCAGTCACGAGGCGGATCCGCTTTGGAGAAACGCCGTCTTGAGCGGCGCGCCCAGTCTTTTAGCATTTAGGTTAGCATCGCTAGTCATCATATAACGATCCGGAAAATCTACGCCATGTCGTCATTAACGCTAACGTAAATTTAAAAACTTTCAGGCACGTGCTCGACGAGGGTATAGACGAATACAAAATTATAATGCTTAACAAACGTTACTTAAGCTTCCGAGTTATCAAAATGAATCGCGAGTGCGTCCGCGGGCTCTGGGCCGGCCAGCAGCAGGAGCTGGTGTACCTGAGAAATAGAAATCCGGAACGCGGCTCGATACAGAACGCCAAGCAGGCCCTGAGGAATATAATCAACAGCTCCTGCGACCAGCCGATCGGATATCCAATTTACGTCTCCCCATTAACGACCAGCTACGCTGAGACCAACGAACAATTGTGTTCAATAATCGGAGGACCATTGACTTACAGCACCATAAAGAGCAACGTGTTAAAATTGTGGAGAAGGTGCGCGCTCCAAACGAAAATCACTGTCAATTTTAATTTATTTTTCGAAATTCTCAAAATAACAGCTTGATGCGCTTTCAGAATAAGAAGGAGATGTGGTCAAGGCTGTTCCTCGGGCGGCACTGGCTCCCAAGACGACGGAGGCTTTGGAAATGACGGAGTATATGCAATGACCACTTACAACTCTGGTACGATTGTTAACGTTGATGCGATGACAGGCTATGATACTTTCGTCGACGTTAACGTATTTGTTTCTACGAACGTAGGCTACGCTCAATCCGGCCACAATACTTCCGGCCGAGAGAGCCCGTATGCCCGTCGTGGAAACAGAGGCTCACTCGCCTCTGTCGGGAAACCGACTAGCGCGACACTCGCCAGTTTGGCCGGACTGCTCAGTAATAGCGATATTAAGACGGAAGCGAAGAGCGAAACGAGTTTCTCCAGCAAAGTGGAAAAAGAGGAGGTTTACCAAAGGGTTCGCGTAAGTGTTGCGACAATATACATAACGAATTGATTTTGCATCGGTATTTCTGCGAGTTCTCACTTTATTTAAATTCAATTGGTCGAATTATTAAAACGGAAGCTCTGAATTTTTGACACGTATTAAATTTTACCTCAATATTTCTTCATCGAAACGCAAGTGTTGTAGTTTCATCATTTGTTGCATCAAATATAAATTGTTTAATTTTGAATTTTGATATTAATACACGAAAGAATAGAGGTACTTTTTTATTAGAAATTTGTATAACTTGTAAATCACGAGGTTTTCTCAAACAGATTATGGATCCCAATCAAGTGTACGACGCGATCAATTTGGGTCGACGTATAGACGTGATTTGGCCGGACGAAAGGATGCGACAGCAAGGCGGCCGTTCCGGCTGGCAGCATTGGGTACCTGAGAGAGGTATGGAAGGTTGCGTGGTCCACCGTTGGTCGCCGAATCATCGCGATCCCAATCGACGATCGCACGTCGACAAAGTTATCCTGCTCGTGAAGATCGAGGACAAGTATGTGCCGATAGCTGAGCAAGGCGTGCGGGATTTAGGAGCGGAAGTTTAACAAAGTATATAGGAAACTAGCGCGATAACGTATTGTCATGGCTTTTGTACGTATTGTTCTCCGACCTGCAAACTCGCGGCAGCGCGGTACGCGTCGTAAAGAGACAGAACAAGATTGATCTGTGAACAAATGTATTATATTGACAATGTTGAACACTAGTTTCCTATCTTCACGAAGTCAATACTCGCCATTAAGATGGACAAATTGAAGGACAACAAAATCAACATGCTGAATCACTGCTGAGTCACATGATTTCTAGCTTATCTCGATTAATAAGCTTTCATTGTGATTACAATCGCAATATTTGGCGTCTTTCCAGAGTATCGAAGATATAATATTTCTCACGTTCTTGTAAAATTGTAAAATTTTCTGTCTTAGCATGCAGTTTTTATAAGAGAAGAGCAACAACCGTGTATAATATACTTTAATTCTTTCTCTCCGTTCAATTGAGAGGTCAGATATAACGAACAGAATAAAATTCTGAAAAAACGTACAGGTTTTTGAGATATTTTTGTACGCTACGTGGCGTAAGTGTTCACTTTCGGTTTGCTTTTTCGATTGTTTCTCATTTTTGCTCGTACTTAAAAATTGTTACGACACGATTCCGAGATATTTCTCGCCAAATTGAACGTGCCGTTCTTTTCTATTCTTGTGATCATCGTCGAATCGTTAGTTTCGTTCTTCGAACGTTTCTAGGCCAACATGTTGAAAGAATCGAGGTTGTAAAATCTGTATAGAGAAAAGAGGAGAGAGCGAGAAATACGAAATATTTTGTCACCTTGTAATTATCACATATATTGTTACTTCTCGCGAGTTGCAAAACGCCAATCGCAAAGTTATTTGATGCAATTGAATTGTATCATGTTGTACTATATACTGTATATTATAATATGATATATTAGTTCGTTCACGCCGCGAACGGAGCAGATGTTACTTGTTGCCCAATGTATCTAGATTATTTACCATTGGTTAAGAGAGAAGGTAGCGTTCGAGCGCGATCCTCTTCCACTAATCTATAATGTATAAATGCGGTATATATTTTTGGCGGTTGATTAAAAAGAAAAAAAAAAGGAACGAATCGCAGAGTAGTGTACCATTTACGAATAATGTAATAATGTATTATATAAACGAGACGAGATATCTTAAATACATTTGTCGTTGTACAGATCGTAAGCAACGGGTACAAGTGGCATCGATCAGATTATTTGTATATAAAATATCATTCGTGTTTTTCTACATTTTGTTACGATTCTCTTTTTAAACTTAGATAAAGTGTAGATAAGTTGTAAATATATATATATATTGCGCAACACATTTATTATCGCAGACCTCGGAGCGTCCTAATACTTGAGCGCATAAATTCGCGAGGCGCGAAATCGCCTCGGCAGGACATATCCGCGTGCAATGAATAGCGGTGTTATCTCGTTCGTTTCCACGCTCGCGCCTGTGTGCAAAGGTTCATTTGAACTTACTTAGCATTACTTAATTGTACGCAAGCTGTTAAGGCTGTTAACTGAGTGCATTTACATATGATGGATATATATCTTGTCACATACGTACGATCGCGGATGTCACATGTAAATGTACTGATGTAACGCACTATCGGGCAATGAAATGTCTATATTTATTCTCGAAAGAAAGTTATAAATCGTTTCCTTATTTCTCTTTTTCTTTTTTTGTTTATATATATATATATATTTATATATCGTCGTATATATATATATATATATATATATATATATATTATATATATATATATAC